GCTCATGCCTATAATTCTTGCTACTCAGGAGGGCTGAGACTAGGAAGATTGAAATTTGAGGCAAGTCTGGGCAAGTTCTTGAGACCCTCATCTCAACAGAAAAAAACTGGTACAGTGATACATGCTTGTCATCCTAGCTACAGCAAAAAGCATAAATAGGAAGATCCCAGTCCCATTGAACTCAGGCAAAAAGTCAGACTGAAAGGGCTAGAGGCACGGCTTCAGCAGTAGAGTACTGGCTCCCCCAAAAAGTACTGACTTTGCTAGTTACTCTTTAAGTTCTGAATTTTTATAAAGTAAAAAATATTTTTCTCTTATCATAGAAAACTTGTTGAGGCCAATAAAAGGACTATGTTATGAACAATACTCGCATATACCAAAATATCCATGGAAAGGACACAAGAGACTTCCTGAAACAGGAGAGTATTTAAAATATACACCAAAAAAAAGAAAAAAAAAGAAACTTGAAGGAAATTATCCTCCAATGCATTTATATAGATTAAATTACTTTATCTTATTGGAGGCAATGTTGGACTAGTTTGGAATTTGACTAAAGTATTAGTGAAAAATTTTTATATTTACTTTCCAATTAGAGATCACAGAGTAAAAAAATATAACTTATAATTTACATTAATAACTTATGACTTACATTAACTCTGTGAATCAACTGAATAAGAATGTCTACAAAGATGGTTGCTGTGACTAGAATTTAACATTTTCTTTCCTGGTTTGATTACTGTGAGAAAATTACAATCCCATATCAATTCAATTATTAGAGAAGTTTAGTATTAAAATTAAATTCAAAAGTAAATGGAACCGCCAGGCACTGGTGGCTTACATCTATAATCCTCAAGAGGCTAAGATCTGAGGATCATGGTTCAAAGCTAGCCCAGCACAAAAGTCCATGGACTCTTATCTCTAATAAACTACTCCCCAAAAAGCTGGAAGTTGGAAGTGGTGCTGTGATTCAAGTGGTAGAGCTTGGCCTTGAGCTGAAGAGCTCAGGAACAGCATGCAGGCTCAGAGTTCAAGCCCCCATGATTGACTAAAGAGAAATAACAAAGCTGAAATGATTGACTAAAGAGAAATAACAAAGCTGAAATGGAGCTGTGGCTAAAGTGGTAGAGCTCTAGCCTGGAGCAAAAAGCAGCTCATGGACAGTGCCCTGCCCCTGAGTTCAAGCCCAGAACCCAGCAAAAACAAAAAACAAAACAACAACAACAAAAAACCAAAACCAAAGATGAAGAGAATGAAATTGTGAAGAACTATAAGTATTTTAATATAAAATAGATCAGAATAATGTAAGAATAATTATAAAATTATATAGGTAGCAAGAAACACCCTTTTCCTTATTTTGTAATAAGAAGGCATAAAAGAAATTTAAAAGATTTGAATTATTTTATAAGCCTAGGTTGTATAAAACCACTGCGCGTTGTGTGCCTACACGTAAGAGTGGGGAAAAACTAGTACTTTAAAATTTCATGTACATGTACAATTTTGCCATATGAAAACCAAGTTATGGTAATTACCTCAGCAAAACCCATTCACAATTGTAAAGTATTAACTACATAAAAGTTCCCAAAGAAAAAGGTAGAGGGGGGGCTGG